TACATCATTCACCGGTTTTCGCACAACTTGCGGAGGGAAGAGCTTCACCATGCAACTATACTGTCAATGGCCACAAGTATAATATGGGATACTATCTCGCTGACGGGATTTACCCAGAATGGTCCACATTAGTGAAGACTATTCCAGCACCTCAAGGAAACAAGCATAAATACTTTGCTTAACAACAAGAAAGCGCAAGAAAAGATGTTGAGCGAGCTTTTGGCGTTTTGCAAGCTTGATTTGCGATTGTTCGTGGACCAGGACGTTTCTGGCAACCTTGTGTGCTTAAAGATATCATGACAACTTGTATAATAATGCATAACATGATCGTTGAAGATGAACGTGATTGTCAATTGGACAACAACTTCGACTTTACTGATTCGGTACTAGTCGTTGAACCTTCTCATGTGAAGACGGTGCCTCTAACTGAGTTCATCCAAAATCATCATCGGATCAGGAACACGCAAACACAGAAATCACTAAAAAATGATTTGATCGAGCATCTGTGGCAGCTCAAGGGATCCATCGCCGAGGATTAAGTTTTTTTATGTCTAATGTAATTTCAGAAAAGGAGTTCAAGTTGTTGTACTACGCCAATTTCATTTTGAAGAACTAATTAGGATGCGATGCGAGTACAATCATAAATCTAATACAAGATAATATTTGATAATTAGGAAGAACTAATGAGGATGCGATGCGAGTACAATATATGATAATTAGAAAGAACCCTTGGACATCCACCTCTCCAATATCTCTGCCTGATGCATTTCAAAGTATTGTCGTTGAACTGAATTGAGTGTTGAGAGATCCATCTTCATGATATCGTCCTCTTGTTTCTTCTATTTTAGCTCTATTTTTTAATTGGTGGTTTGCTTCATCCACGCGAAAGCCTCTCCCATGATGGACGTAGCGGATCCAGAGTTTTCCACATTTTGTTTCCTCTTGAGCTTTGCAGCTTTCCTCCCTTCAGGCCTTACTAACACATCATCCGAGTCAGTGTTCAACTCGATGGGGGTCGCTGGCATGGAATTGTTTGGTGAGGAATCAGAATTTGTGGTTCTTCTCGGCTGTGATCGAATCTTATTGTAAGTTTCCATTTGTTGGATCCACTTTTGACGATGACGCAACTCAACCCAGCAATGGTCAAACACGAATGGTTTACCATAAAGAGATTGGTATAATTATTTTACTTCTGCAGTCTACACAAGAGTTAAATTTAGAATAATCAAACATAATTAAACATATATATTCCTCTCTTCAATGCTATGTTGTTTGCATGAAAACATATAAGTTAAATATTTACCTGGTCAATAATTCCCGTATCAGATCTTTGTCTTCCTTCAATTTGAGCAACGCACCCGCAGAACTTGTTGACGGACAGTTGAATCGTTGACCAACGATGCATCATTTGGTTTGGTGTGCGGCTCGTTGGATCGACAGAGTATTGGATAAAGTAGTTGTTAGCTCTGTGCCAAAACTTATCTTTGTGTTGCCCCGTACCTTGGATGGCGTCTTGGCTCGTGTTCAGCCAAGCAGACACAAGAAGCTTATCCTCGTGGACAGTCTAATTTTCGGACCGCGTGTAAGCCTTCTTCTTCTTTGTGGTCGGTGTTTCTTGGGATGATACTTGTTGTGTTGCCGATTGCGAGAACTCGATGGGGTTACCTTCTTCTACGACTTCTGTATAGAACGGCGGGTATAAGGTCGATTCTTCACCGGTAAGGAGTTGCGAATAATAGTTTTGTGAGGGATCCATGAGATTTGTAATTTGATAAGGAAATATAGAGTTTTTTTTTATGAGAGAGTTGTGTGGAATGATTTGTGTATTGAAGTGAAATGAATTTATAGATGATTTTTTTCTGTTCATGCCAATTTTTTAATCCAAACAGCTAAATTTTTGAACGGCTGAATTTTTCAGCTCAACTCAACTGTACATTTTCAGAACTTTTCTCTTCAACGGTATATTTTCATCTCAATGGAAACATTTTCACCTCAAACAACGCAACCAATTAAAAAAAATCCAAAGAGAGATCTTCATCTCAACTTCGACAGACCCAACCCCACCCCCTTCGTCCAAACCCAACCCCAACCCCAAATTCTCTCCCTGCGACAGACCCAACCCCACCCCTTCGACAGACCCAACCCCAACCCCAAATCCTCTCCGGCGTCGGCATGCGGAGGCCAGTCGGAGGCACCCCAGTCATCCATCATCTCCGAACCGAACGCCACCTATCAGTCTCCAACCCGACCCGCCACCCATCATCTCCGCGAACGCCAGCATCTCAACGGAAAGGCCATCATCGCCGATCCTGGTATGTTTGAGGGGGTTTTTGTAAAATTTTCCCAATTGGGAGCTCCCAAGTGCTCCACAAATTTGTGGAGCGCTTGGGAGCTCCGAAGCTCTCCACCGCCATGTCGGCCTAAGGAGAGGGGCTTGGGAGAGGTTAGGAGCTTGCTGGAGGGGGGGCTGCCAACTTCCACGGCCACGTCAGCCTTGAGAGCCTCCTTCAGAGCCGGTTGCTGCCCTTGATCTAATAATTCACAGAGGAGGTCTCCATAACAAGATGCAAACTTTCTACGTGTCAACTAACTGCACCTAGATAACTACAGTTCAGTTATTCCCCTTGAAATCATCCATACGATTGGGATTCTTTGGGGTTTCGCATATATACCTTTCAAATCTTTCATATTTGCAAATTTACTCTCCAAATCTTGATAGTGGTAAAATAACATTCAATTCTCTCGGATTGGGTTTTACACTCTTCTTCTAGACGGTTTTGGTTCTATTGGAATTATTGATAATTTTGGACATTGTCCTATCTCGAAGACTCGAAAAACTTAATATGAGAAAGGGGGGAAACCTTTGCAAATACTAAGATTTCGTGGGTACAAATATAAAGGATTTGATTTTGAGGTATATTATGAAAGAGAACCCTTTTTTCAGGAGTTAATCCCACAGTATGTTTTTTCTAGAATTAGGGAGACAGGAACGTGGATGTCCTAATCGAACCATAGTACACCCACAAAATAACAAGAGGGGAGGGAAGGAGGCGGCCCCTTTAAATAGTCCCACATCGGTCAAGATTTCGCGTTCGTCGTGCGTGTCGAGCATGACTTTCCCCATTCTCGAACCGTTTGGTTAAATGACCGTTTTGCCCTCGGGGTTGGACCTGACATTAGAAAAGGGAAATTTGTTGCATAACGAAAGAATCCATGCGTATTATAGGTCGGTCTTTTATGTGAGAGATGAAGGGGGCCTAGAGACTTTTATCCAATTCAAATTGATGGAAATGGAAATCCACCATGCTAGATTTTTTTTTTAAAGAAAATATTGAATAACATGTGTTTTGCGTTTCGATATAGGCTTTTTTTTTGGGTAAGTGTGGCGACTGAACTTCCCCATAATTTTTCGGACTATGGGTATCAAACCTCGAGGCGTGGCTAAGGGGGCACCCTCCAGAAAATTAAATTCACGTGGGTGTTTTTCTAAGAGAGTCGAACCTGAGATTCTTAGAGTACTACTCATAAGCGGCTTATCATCTCGGCTAGATCCTATTGAGTTACGTGTTCTATATAGTTGTTGATTGTGTTCGTGATATTTGAAAACAGGAATGGATATCTTGATAATATTTAAATCCATCAAAAAAAAACCCATCAAGTTAGATGCTAACGAATTTGTCAATGAACTCATGAGAATTGGTATTATATTTTGTAATTAGATGTTCTTGTAGTTTAGAAATAAGCACATTCCACAAGGGACACAACTATATTAATGGAGATTAAATTTTTTATTAAAATTCAGATGAGTAGGATTCAGCAGCTAGTGGATTCTCCAGAGAACAGAGCATGGTATGCGAAACATTATTTGCATCCACAGTTTTTGAGCAAATCATGAAGCTGATACAGTTTCTTTCAGATGACTTCTTTTTGTATAGCTGTCTCTTTCATAGAGCAAATTTTTTTTGTATAATTTGATAGAAGTTTTAGAGAGGAAGTCTATTGATGAGTTTTTAACTTGAAATTTCATACTTTGGTAATTAATTATATATTAGTTAACCTTGGTTTTTTTTTTTTTTAATTCTTCCTCCACTATCATTTCTCGTGCATAGTATTTTGATTGAGGACACAAACATATGTATGCTTTCTCCACAGAGAATAGTACAAAAGCGCTCCTTTTATCTTGCTTTATGTATAAGTACTTGGAATTTGATAAATATTTATAATTCTTTGTTAGAAGCAATTATTCTCGCCAATCCAAAATAAAATATCTATCTCGCCACTGGAGAGTGCTGGGGTACCTTACCTAATATGCAAAGGAGACTAATTATTATTATTATAATCTATAAAGGAGAGAAAACCTCCATCTATGCAAATTAATACATGAACATTATAATATAATACAATACTAAGTGGAGTGGGCCAATAAAGGTTCTATCAAAAGCCATAGAGACCACTAACTAAATAAAAACCAATTTATGTGGTTGTGGTAAGTTTAGCAAGTTGTTATGGTATTGGTGTGAGATTAGGACTCCTCCTCTTTACTATGTCACCAGTGCAAAATGTGTGCCAAAATTACTTAAAATAATGGATCATGCACTTTGATTATTTCTAATTATACACATTAATTTTAGAAAATCCTCTTGTGTATTGGGTGATTTGCACTAATTAAACCTATCATGAACTCTAAACATTGGAGAGAGCAACCCCAACTTTAGAGAGTTTCACACCCTCTTGAACTTTCAAAAAGTTCCAACTGCTGCAACGTCATTTTCCAAAACTAAGCCTTTTTAGTGAAATTATAAACAAAAATTCCTCCCTAACTTTTCTCATTTCTCTGCCTATTAGATGATAATTTTGTCCCTAATAAGTTTTGGATTTTTTTTCCGCCAAAGACGTATTCCCCTCAAAAAAAAAATTTGGAATTTTCCTACTTTTTAAAGACCCCTAGTTTATAATGGATATGTAAATAAATGGAGAAAAAGAGAAAGAAATGGGGGAGTTGAAGAGAATAGAATTAAAAAAAGACGGTTCCTTGCGAAAAAACGCATCTTTGAGGCGATAAGAACGCCCGAGGTCATCAAGCCCACTACTCCTCTCTCTCTCTCTCTCTCTCTCAAACTTCTCTCTTTCAAGCCACGAGCACCCATTGAAGGATTTCAAGAAGAGTCATGGTGAGCAATCTTTTGCCAAAGTTGCTTCCTTTTTCAAATGGGTATTCGTTTTTTTCTTTGTGTTTAGAGGTTGAGTGCTGATTTGGATCACAGGGAGGATTTGGGTCTGAAGAGGATAACCACTGGCCGCCATGGCTGAAGCCATTGTTGAAGACGAGCTTCTTCGTTCAATGCAAGCTTCACTCTGATTCTCACAAGAGCGAATGCAATATGTACTGCTTGGATTGTATGAATGGAGCCCTCTGCTCTCTTTGTCTCGCTTATCATCGCGATCACCGAGCCATTCAGGTTTCGTTATTGATTTCACCTTTTCTTGGGTTTGATTTTCATAAAGATGAAATTTTTTTTTTAGTGTTCAATAGGATTTCTCATCATCATCATCATTACTTTTTTTTTATTCGGGTTCAGTTTGTTTGCTCATTTTCGTGGCATTTTGTTTATCTCTCTCTCTCTCTCTCTCTCTCTCAGAGATGAGAAATTTAGAGTCTTTGATAAAGATTTAGAGGTCTCTCCATTGACCCAGACAATTAGCTATTGTTTTTTTCCCCTGTCATTTCCAAAAATCATTTTCCTTCTTCTTCTTCTTCTTCTTTTAAGGATATATATATTAGGATTAAGTTTTCATTTTATTTCTGATGTATTTTGGTGATTTCAGTTTCATGGGTTTAATGGCGCATTCTCATTGCCAGCATCAAAGTCTCTGTTCTGTTCTGGAGTACTCTTCCCTCCAAATTTCTCTTTGGTTTCTAACTCTGAAATGATTTTTTTTTCAAGTTTTGTTCTTTTTGGTTTTCAGCTTTGTTTTTCTAATATTTTTTATTAAAATTGGTCATTTTGGAGTTATATTCTCATTTGGAGTTATCTTCGTACTAGATTAGAAAATGTTTAAATTCAATGGTGTTTGTTTTAAACTGGCATTTCTCCAGTATCAGCATCTGGGTTTCTGTTCTTTTCCTGTCATTTCCAAGTTAGCGTAAAGTTCAGCACTAATTTTTCATTAATCTTACAATTATTTTTTTGATTTGAGCTTCAAGGCTTCATCATATTCTTTTGCACAACAACGTGGAACCTGGTTCTCCTACCACCCAAATGCCCACTTCAATGGCATATCCTCACTCTCAGCATCTGTTTTATTAAAACTTTAAGAATTGATTCTCATCTAACAAGATTCTGTTCAATTCCTTCATCATCATCATCATCATCATCATCATCATCATCAATTTAACCATCCTGAATTCCTAACAATTTCTGTTCATTTTCAGATCAGGAGATCCTCGTACCATGACGTGATCAGAGTCTCAGAAATCCAAAAGGTCCTCGATATCACCGGCGTGCAGACGTACATTATCAACAGTGCCCGCGTCGTCTTCATCAACGAGCGGCCTCAGCCGAGGCCTGGCAAGGGTGTAACCAACACCTGCGACGTCTGCGACCGCAGCCTCCTCGACTCCTTCCGCTTTTGCTCTCTCGGCTGCAAGGTATGTTCATGTCCACTGGATAGCTGGTGTATCATGATAAAAAAAAAAGTATTGATCGTTCATAGGCCCCCGTAATGTAGCTGTTTTGAACTTACCACCACTCGTTTGCCAAGGGATCAAAAGTTAGAAACAACCATACACTAAAGCGGGAACTCGATATATACTGATCTCAAGTCTCTTTGTTTCAGATTGTTGGCACATCTGATGGTTTCAACAAGAGCAAGAAGAGCAATGCGAAGAAGAAGAAGGCGGTCGCGATGGCGTCGGATTCTGAAGAGTCCTACTCCGGCGGCAGTGCGAAGAGCAATGTGATACAGAGCTTCAGCCCCTCGACACCGCCGCGGACGCTGGTCAATTTCAGGAGTGCGAGGAGGAGGAAGGGAGTTCCTCGTAGAGCTCCCTTCGGGAGCTTTATGTTGGAGTACTGAGGATCTAGTATAATCCTATCCTTGCTATGATCACAATTAGTTCGTTGTTGTTGTTCTTGTTGTTTTCGGTTTATATAAGCGCACCCTCTTGAACTTGGGGGGTGGTGTTAGAGTTTTAGCTACTAGATACAGGGGAAAAAAAAAAGAGGAGATATATATGAGGGTATGTAATAATACTTAGGGTGGGGGGTTGTTTAATTACTGCATATATGTTCATGGTTTGGTAAGTTTTGTGATACTAGCCTTTGTGAAATGTATATATAGGAAGTGAGAGTAGAAAGGGGGAGATGAGCAAAAGAAATGTGTGTATATGTCTATAGATATGAGTGGAATAAAGATTGCTCTTCCTTGGTATAAAACGTGCGCACCGTGCATTAGCTCTTTCCGCTCTTAGCGTAGCTTGGGATCATTCTTAGCATACATTGTGGTGATTTGCATAAACTTTTAACAATGATTTTCTTATTAAACACATTAATCCCTTAAATCACTGAGATTGCTATCAGGTCTTTTTTACAAAGGTAGCAAACTAAGCGGAATTAATTTAACACGACCTACGAGAACCGGGGGGGGGCCTAAATATCAGTCGGTTTTATTGACCAGGGGCTGTTGTCAAAAAGAATGAAAGATTTGCAAGGGGTTGATGCGGGAAAACTTTTAATTGGTGGGCCCCAAGGGTTGGGATGGTCAGCTTGGACGGGTCCATGTGGGCGGCTGGGGTTTGGGAGGGGGTGGACCTTAAAACTCTAATCCCATGAATTCGTGTCACTCCACAGTTCGGTGTGGGGGGAACCTGGCATGCTGTTGATAAAGCGGTTTGGTTTTGGCTGATTCATCCCCCCCCCCCCCATCACCATCTTTTCCACATCTTTCTTGGGAACCGGCATTTCTCTTGTCAGAATTGTAACCCCCCATCAAAAAAAAATGAGTAATGTTTGATCTTAATCAAATGTTAGAGCTTGATTAGCGCGCAATCTTCTAGCGTGGAAAACTTTAGGAGAAAATTTTAAAACCGACCATTTTTGAAATTTAATGGGCAAAATCTACCTCTAAGAAAAAATATTAACAAAACCGACCATTTTCTTCTAAAAAGGATCGGTTTTGCAGCGGTGAGGCTTTTACGAAGTGCACGGGACTAGTAGTCCCATGCATTTTGTGTTCAGTAAACAAAGTGCACGGGACTACTAGTCTCGTGCCCTTGGTCTTTAGCAGGCGACTGCCTCTCTACCTAAAAACCGAGGTTGTTAGTCCCGACTTTTAGGCAGAGAGGCTGAAGACCAGGTCGTGATGTGCCTCTCTGCCTAAAAGTCGGGAACGACTATCTGTCCCGACTTTTAGGCAGAGAGTTATGGTGAATATGTGGTGAAATTCATGATATTTAGATTTGTATATGACTTTGTATTTAAGTTTATACAGGGACTACATGAAATGCAGCCAAAAAGTGCACAAAAACGTGCACACGAAGTGCACGGGACTAGTAGTCCCGTGCATTTTGTCTGCTGAAGACCAAGTGCACGGGACTACTAGTAGTCCCGTGCACTTCGTTTACTGAACACAAAATGCACGGGACTACTAGTCCCGTGCACTTCATGTGCACGTTTTTGTGCACTTTTTGGTTGCATTTCATGTAGTCCTTGTATAAACTTAAATGCAAAGTCATATACAAATCTAATATCATGAATTTCACCACATACTCACCATAAACTCTTTTACAAATCTAAATATCATGAATTTCACCACATACTCATTTACAAATGTAAATATCATGAATTTCACCACATACTCATTTCAAATCAAACAAATCACACCACAAACTCCCACTAACAAATCCAACATAATAACACCACAAACCCACTTAGAAATCCAACAAATCACACCATAGTCTCGACTACAAATCCAAAAATCATATCACATCCCTAAATAGTTTTGTAATGTATATAACATGCAGTTTACATACATCCAAGAACTCTCCTCCTCCTCCTTTGTCTTCGTCGTCCTCCATACTGCCCTTCGACGAGTTCGTGATCCGGTTGTGTTTGTGGTTGTGACGGTCCAGCTCCATCGTCAACACGTTGGGAAGGTCCAGCTTCATCGTCATTTCTGCGTCGTCCTCGACTTTGTCGCTGTTGTCGTGTGTATACGAAAGGCGTTACCTCCCGTCCATCATGACGATCTTCGTAAGTTCGGTGTAAGGCTTGGTGAAGCAGAGGCTTCACCATGGATTGATATTTTGATACATGTTCATGTGCTTCGGGATTTCTACCTGCGATAGATAGTTCAAAAAATCCAAAATTTGATATTAAATTTTCAAATTAAAGAATGTAAATTTAATATTTAATTCTATATTACCTGCTCAAGCCAATTCCAAGCCACGATTTGCAAGAGTTTGAACTTCATCTATTGTTGATACTTGCAAATTTTTCAACACATCTTAGCAATATTGAGCAATACCAATAAAAATGGATTTAAATCAAAATATGAAAATACTTACTAATTCTTTCTCATCTATACCCCGGGGCACATATCCTCTTTATGACTCAATCGGTATTGTGGTCGCATGAAGTATCCATCTTCGGGTTATCCCCCAATACCAAGTATAGTAATCTGATTCCCGAGGAGTTGGTTCAATTTGGTTGACAATACAAAAATGTCTATTATTCCATCTGTGTATAAAAGCTTAATGCACGACCATCCAGTTTATTTGTTGGTCTCCTTTCATTTCCTTCCTCTCTATCTTTTCAACAAATTGCGGAACATGTTGTGCACGATCAAATTGTCAAAGCACGTGGTCCGGTACATGCATTTCTACTATCTCCAAACATATAAGAGGAACTCTAGCTCTCCATACAACTTGATATTCTGTGCATATTAGGGGTAGCTGAGGTAGAAATTGGGTGTAGGGCTCTCATTCCATCTACAGAAATTTAATCGTTGTATATTAGAAAAGTAAATTTGATAAGTAGAAGAAAAAGCGCATGTTTTTGGCAATAATACCTGAAAAATCTTCATACAATCAAGCTCATTTCGGTAGAAATCTAATTGTCTAGTCAGGGTCTCGTCATAACATTTTTTGACATTCCATCTACAGAAAAATGTTGGTCATACATTTAGTACCACAATGATAACTATAGTTATATTCGATACATAAAAAATACAATACATGCATCCCAGTGGAATTTGTCCATCTAATTATAAATTCGTGCATAGTCTTGGCTTCAAATGAAGTCTCTCCCATGCCCATACTTGCAATAAACTTAGACACCCTTTAAGCTCACTGTGTTGCATAAATGTCACTTTTGACATCTCTCTATATAAGTACGTCAAAACGGCACTACCCCACAATTTTGTACCACATGCGTCCAAGTCCTCGAGGAGTGGTACCCACCTAGCATATTCACAATATTCCAATTTATTAAAATAAGCTAATTCAATGAAATACAAATTCATATTATAACTACACATACCTCGTGTGTACTTTATCTTTACTTGAATCTGGAAATAATATAGAACCACTCATGTGCACGTTCATGTTGGTCAACCAATATTTGTGGGGCATCAACAGACAATGGTACTGAGAAGGTCTCTCTCAACCACTTCAATTTAATATTTCCTCGAGGCATTGACTCTGGAGCTACACCTAACAACTGCTCACACCTTGTCGGCCATACATCATTATCAGTGTCGGTAATGCACGGACCATCTATACGGAGACCGAGTATCATGGCTATATCTTGTAGAGTAATGGTAGCCTCGCCCATTCGTAAGTGGAAAGTATTGACTCTCAGGTCTCCATCTATCCATCAACGTGGTGAGTAGGGGCCAATCGAGCTTTATCCAACGAATCTTTGAACAAGTCAAGAAGTCGGCCCGTCCTACAGCTGATATGATACGCTCATCCTCTAACCGCCAATGGCTATGGCTGAGGCTATGGTCAACCATAACGATACTCCCTCCTCTCTGTAGAGCAAGTGATAGTATAAGAATGCAAGATTATGTAAATACAAATATTACAATTATAAAGTAACTGAATTACCTCTGTACATGATATAATATGTGAACGATGATGAGCCTGGTCATATAAGACCTCATCACTAACTGGCCTAGGATCCATGGTGTAGAAAGCTGCACATACAATTATACGTACATGTCAATAATCAATCAAATAGTAATTAAGTTTCTTTATTAAAGTATATAAAAATAAAAAAGAATATAAATTACCAATTAGTTGCTATCTATTGTGTCTAGATGGATAATGAGGTCGAGTATGTCCTGGTTGTTTGCAAAGACTATATTTTTTATGCTTGACAACTTCTTCCCGCCCTTGATCCATGGTTTCCCTAATTCGCACAGATCGTGGTTGACCTGCTTGTCTCCGGTATTAAGGTGGAATTATATGTGGTCCATTATATTCAGGTCAATACCGACTATTATCAGGTGGATGAAAACTCTCACTATATGTCTTTTGATAGTGAGATGTTGAATACCAAGGCGAGCAATACCGATTATAGGGAATTCTAGCACCTCTCGGATGATTGGAAGAAGCCGCAAGCACATGTGCAGAGGGTATTTTTTGGAGTTGTGGTATGTTACATGTGCAAGTGCAATCAACATCAAATAGTTTAACGGTGTAGATACCATCACAATCCTGTACTTGCTATTCGTTATCGTTGAATATAGTAATTTGACATGATCTTGCTGCCTCAATTCTTCTATGCAAAATGACCTTATTTTTTAGTGTGTAACGTGTTGTCCAGTCTATGCCATCACCACACCTTTTGTTAAAGTATGTGTTTAGTCTATAGAATGTTCTCGCAACCAAAGATTGTATTGGCATAGCTCGTGCTCCTTTAAGAACGTCGTTAAAGCTCTCGGAGCAATTAGTTATCATCATGCAAAACCGCACACCATCATCCTTACATAATGCCCACCGATGCTCGAATTGAGGCTTCAAGTTATTTTCAATCCAATTATGTGCATCTAATGACAAAGACTTGATTTTCTCCCTGTAATGTTCATACACTAATGTGTCGGTTTCACGCTCGGCTTGCCACAAAAGATTTTGTAAATTAATCTCACCATGTTTTTTCTTAAAATTATCTCTTATATGCCTTAAACAATATCGATGGTGATGTGGTGCACTAAAACCCTCATGTATCGCCCTTATAATTCCTTTCATCCTATCTAAGATAAAAGTAATTATTCTTGGTGCACGAACACTTGGAATCTACTTGTATATAAGTTCAAAAAACCACTTCCAACTAGACTATCCTCAACCTCCATGACTGCAA